GCTTTTACCAGAAAAAGCTGAAATAGGTATTTGGAAACTGCCTTATTATTTGCATCAAGTCTACTCTTTTTTTTGTCTGTTCTGCTACTATATTTGCAATTTTTATTGCTTGACTTAAGCCGTCTGACATTTAAAAAAAACTGTGAAAATATTTAAAATAGTTTCCTATATCCTGTGCCACACCTAATATTTTTCATGTCTCTGTCAGATACTAATTATGACCATCTTCTTTTATATTACATTTAGAAGCATACAAATTTCATTTCTTTTATTAACATTTATACTATTTTGGCAAAGTTTTTTTCCCCTCCATGTGGGAATATTTACATTTCTCTTAGCAAAGCTTAAATTTAGCAGGAGGTGACACACATTCGCTTCATTTACTTGACCTAAAAATGCCCTTTTGAAATTTATTTTAATTATAACTCCTCTTCTCTATTATTTTTGGTAGATAAGATGATCAGAACAGCCATACATCTCCTCACCATGAACTTAACCACATTTATTTAGATTTTAGAAGTTTGTCTGATTAATTTCATCAGAATGTTCTCAACATGACTGCATTTTATCATATCTTATGTGTTGGCTGTCTGGCATGCAGGTATCAGTTGAAATATTGATAGAAATTCCCATTAATTTTAAGAGGTCTCTGTGTGTTTAGTTCTTAGAAGCAAATGTGTGTGCCTCAGTTTGAGGAAGTTGCTGCTTTCAAGCCATCTGCTCTTTTCCTCTGGTAAAGTTCTTGAGAAACTGAGATGACCAGATTCTGAGACAGATCTTGAACACAAGAGGAAAGTGGACCCAATCCATCTGCAACTGGGATCATATATCACTAGACAGTGGGTCCCAGCAGGATGTGCTAGGGCAGTGATGGCGAACCTTTTTCAGCCCGAGTGCCCAAATGGCAACAGAAAACCAAATTATTTCTTTCGAAGTACCAACACTGCAATTAAATCTGAATACGGATCTCAAAAAGTTTGTAAGTGGAGCCGACCGTAAGTTGAGACTCCAATGTATGTCTAAGATTGCACTGTTTGCTTTTTTATTTTTGCCCCAGACTTGCAGCAGTTATTAAGATTGGGCATTCTGGACTGGGAAATTAGTGGGGCGGGGCACTCATCTACCAGATGATTTTTGTAATTAGCTAAATAATTGTCATAACACTCAAATGAGGTTACCCAGATTTGGAGACTAGGATATGGTAACCCTATAACCTGCCCATCAAAATTTATTGGGCTATCGCTCCATAAGACGCACCTTTTCATAATCTGCTTAAAGGTCTTATGGTGCAAAAAATACGGTACATTAGCATGTTTATATGTCTGCTTAAAGTTACAGCTATTAAAAACAACTATCATACTACTTTACCTTTAAATCTGGCGAAGTTATAAACTTACTCTTTCCTCAAGTCTGTGTAGAAAAGGCTTTGGTGAAGTTATATTTATTTATTTATTTTATTTACAATATTTTTTAGCCGCACCATTGCCAGTGGCTTATAAACTTACTCTTTCCTCAAGTCTCTGTAGAAAAGGCTCTGGCTTTTGAATCAAAATCAGGCTAACCTTCTAAACTGGTCCATACTTGACTTAAATTGAATTAAAACTGTGCCAGTTTAACAATTCCCACTTTAGGTGCCTTGGCAAACTTTAGGCATGAGCTTATTTAGCACATACAGCTTTGTCATGAAATCTTTCTACATAAACTTTAGAAAAAGTGTTCTCAGTATTTTAAGTTCCCAAAACAAAAGATTTTTTGTTTTGTTTTATTTTATTTGGGTCACATAATTCACCTCTAATGTAAACTTATCTGACAACTGTCTTCTCTTGGGTATTTACACATTAATCTGATTTTGCACCTTGTCATCAGCTGACACTGAACAGAATACAGGTCAGGAAACTAAACTATAATCATTCCCAACCTTTCCTCCTGGCGAGGCTGATCAAGTTGCTAAATTAGTTTTGTGTGGAGATGGGCACAAAACAAATCACCAAATTCATTCAAAAATCATTAATTTGTTGATTTGTATGAACCAATGCCCCCAATGAATACAGATCAATGAATTTTCAGTGATTTTTTTATTCATTGATTCATTGGGCTATAAAACAGCTCCACAAGCACTTAGAGGCACCAAAGTGGCAGAGAAGTTTCCTCTGAATCTTCTCTACAACTCCTGCATGTTTGGAGAAGATTGGATTTTGGATGTCTGAGCAAAGAGTGACCCCCGTGGATGTCTGAGTTATACACCCACAAAGAATGACCCCCGGAAAGCACCAAGAGACACCAAAAGCTTCACCAAAAGAGAAGCTTCCCTTGACTCTCTTCTTCAGTCCCTCCAAGTTTAGTGAAGACTGAGTTTCCCCAAGTAAACTGTCAAAGGGCACTTTCCTAGGGGGACCCACTTTGTGTGTGTAGCGTTTCCTAGGGGGACCCACTTTGTGGGTGTACCGCTTGGATGCCTGAAGCCCAATCTTCACCAAACATGGAGGGATTGTAGAGGAAAGGCTCAGTCCTGGGCCCTGGGGTCTTCAATATTTTATTTTAATGACTTGGATGAGGGAGTGCAGAGAATGCTTGTCATATTAGCAGATGATATCAAATTGGGCAGAATAGCTAATACCCTAGAAGACAGAAACAAAATTCAAAATGACCTTGATAGGATGGAGCACTGGGCAAAAAGCAACAGAATAAAATTCAGCAGGGATAAGTGCAAAGTACTGCACCTGGGAAAAAGAAACCAATTGCAAAGTTACAAAATGGGGGATACCAGGCTCAGCAAAACTATGCGCAATAAGGATTTTGGAATTGCTGTAGATCACAAGCTAAATATGAGCCAACAGTGTGATGTGGCTACAAAAGGCTAATGCTATTTTAGGCTGCATTAATAGAAGTATAGATTCCAAATCCCGCAAGGTGCTGGTCCCCCTCTATTGAGCCCTTGTTAGGCTCACCTTGAGTATTGTGCCCAGTTCTGGACACCACACTTCAAGAAGGATGCCAACAAGTTGGAACAAGTTCGGAGGAGGCGACAACAATGATCAGGGGGGCTGGAAACCAACTGGAAACCAAGCCTTATGAGTATAGGGTGAAAGAATTGGGCATGTTTAGCCTTGAGAAAAGGAGACTGAGGGATGATATGATAGCACTTTTCAAATATATGAAAGGCTATCATACAGAGGCAGGGCAAGATCTGTTCTCGATCATCCCAGAGTACAGGACACACAACAATGGGCTCAAGTTAAAGGAAGCAGGATTTCGCTTGAATATCAGCAAAATCTTCCTGTTAGAGCAGGACGAACAGTGGAACCAGTTACCTCAGGAGTTGTTGAGTGCTCTTACTACTGGAGGCATTCATGAAAAACTTAGATAATCACCTGGCAGATATGCTTTGATTGTATTCCTGCATTGAGCAAGGGGTTGGACTTGATGGTCTTCTAGGCCCCTTCCAACTTCACTTTCCTATGATTCTATGAAAGACAGGGGAAGACTCTCTGTGATTTTAATGTCTCTGGGTACCTGGAGGAACTTTCTTACCCCCCCCCCCGTCGTGGATATATAACTCGGACATCTGAAACTCTCTTAATGGAAGAGAGTCAGGGCAAGCTCCTTTGTGAATTTGGTGTCTCTAGGTACTTGCAGCCGTTTTATAGGGTTTTAAAGTAAAAAAATGGATTGACAAATCCATTCATGTGTTCATCAGAAAAAATTGTAAACTCATAATTTGTGATTCCTTGAACTTGACAAATCACAAATCAAAATGAATCACCATTTTTCTGATTCATGCCCATCTCTAGTTTAGTGAATTCCCACTAGCTTCTGTTCAATGCCTTGATCTTGTAGAAGCCACAAAGCACTTGTGTCTGGAAAAAAAAAACCTTGGCGCTTTGACAAAGTCTATACATATTTATATATTTATACATCGGCAGCAGCAGGAGTGGCAGCCAGAGCAGGAAAAACAGCAGTACTGTAGTTTGTTTGTTTTTAATGTGTAGCACAGAATAACACTTCCTCATATGAAATGCCACCAGCAATCTTAAGTGGACCAGAAGACTCAGGGTTTTCCACCTATGCCAGAGCTAGTCCTCACTGTAAAACCTCTTACAGGACAATGCACTTGCTCAGTCTGTTGTTGTTTCTTAAATCATTACATTTATAAGTAGGGATGCACACTGTCTTTGGACAAATGTGTGAACAGAAACTGAATTAGCGGTACCTCTATGTTTCTGGGCTGACCACAGGGCAGAGTAAAGAGCCCAGATGCATTTGCAAGGGAGGACAGCACCACATGGAACCATTATGTTAAATCCAGCATTTACAGGGCGTGATTTAAAAGCGGAGAAAGGAAAGAACTAAGGGAGATGCTAAACTGAAGAAAAGGAAAGTATATTGTTTATCTTAGAAATGAATCTCCTTTGTCTTTCCTGTTGCAACATCATTGATCAAGTCATCAAAGTCTGCAGACATTGAACCACTCAGTTCAGGCCCAGGGAATGGGAAGGGTGTGGGGGAAGGGGAGAAAAAGGAGAGATACAAAAACAGTCTGTGTTGGCCTTTTAAAATGGAGTTAAATGTGAGCAGTGCTTGATGAGAAGAAAGAAGAGATCTCATTTAAGGAGCACCATGCCTACCTACTAGGATAGGAAGAAGAGCTTATTTCACCATTAATATCCTGTAAATTACACTGGAAAACTCACAGCCACCCAATTATGCTGTGTCTGAAACAACTGTGTGTTTATATATGCATCTCTGTCTCTCTCCTTGCAGGCTACACACAGGCACATGTGCATCTTTTTTGTTTTTAATCCTAGTAGAGCAGACCCAACCAAGAGAACAAGAGGAGAGTCAGTGGACAAAGGTCAGGTTCGTTTCCATGGTCACCGTTGCTGAGCAATGAAAGAGAATCACCTTTGACAAGTCTTTATATATTGAAACAATAGACCAAACAGTCTTATGGAGCTCTAGGGACATTCTTGTAGCATGAACTTCTGTACTTGATCAAATGAATGAGAAGTACGTAACAGTGGCTCTCCAGAGATTATTGGATTACCATTTCCACAGTCCCTCACTACTGGTTATTTGTTGGCTGGGGTTAGTAGAAACTGGTTCAGCAACAATGGAAGAGTCCTATATTCTCTACACTAGACATACAAGAAGACAATGATTGATGTTATTTGACTCTAACTCCTATCCATCCCAAATGGCACGTCAAATTTTAAAAAACCACACAATGTAACATTCACCCATCATAATATGGAGAGGCAATCTTTGGTAGAACCATTTATCTGAAGAATTCAGGAACATGGGAAGCTGCCTTTCATTGAGTCAAACCATTGGTCCATCTAGCTAAGTATTGTCAATATTAATTAGAAGCAGCTCTTCAGGATTTCAGGTAGGATTCTTTCTTCACCTCAGTCAAAGGTCCCTGAATGATCTCCCATCTAAGTCCTAACCAGGCCTGATCGCACTGAGCTGCCCAGAGCAACCAAGATTGGTATGTTCCGGGTGCTTTGGATGAGAATTGACCACCCATTTAGAATAGGAAGTTTAAAATGTTGTATAGTTATGATACATTTAAATATTAATTTTGAAGAAGTAGCCATGTTAGTCTGTGCAAGCATACCAGACAAAACAAAAACAAACAAAAACAAACTAAGAGATAGAACAACTGCTATATTTTAATGTGAGTTTTTATGGATCAAGTCCACAAAAGCTCACATTAAAATATAGCAGTTTGTCTTTAAAGTGCCACAAAGTTTTTGTTTCTTGTTTCAATGTTTTTGTTTTTTGTTTTTGTTAGATATTGATACATTTTATTGTTTGCTAGAATAAACAGAGTTCACTACTGGTTCTTTGAATTGTACATATCTTCACTAAGTTTGAATTGTACATATCTTTGGCAGTACAAAAGGATAAAGACTTCCTGAGTACAAAAATCTAGATAAATGTGTTTAGTGTTCTCCTTTATTATGTCAATGGTTCATGTTCTGTTATGTTAATTGTTCATTCATATTCATGTTGCTGAGAGGCGGAGCCAAAAGAAAGGTTATAAGAGGCGGAGCCTGAGAGGGAGAGTCAGTCAGAGAAAGTAAGAGTCAGAGGAGTTGGAGTCAGAGTATGAGTAGAGTGAGGGAGTGGAGAAGGGGATAGAGTGTGGAGTGTGGAGAAATCTGAGGTGTGATTAGCGTTAGGAGTGTATTATCTAATAGAAGATTGTTGTTAATAATAAATTTATCTAAAGAAGATATTCATGAATCACTATCAATTTCTGTAATCAATAAACAAAATTTATATTTAAACGAATTTGAAGTGAGGACCTGAATCTTCATCTCCCTGAAGTAATGGTGATTTAGTGATCACCTGGTGGCAGCAGTGTAAAAGAAGGGATTGTTTGCCTTCGTGTGTTCTGAGTCTTGACGGTCAAGCAAAGGGCACGAGGTGCGAATGCCACAATGTGACATATATATCTAGATATATTTCATGTTCTAGGGTTTTTTTTTTAAATTTCTGGATACCTACAATAACTTTTGTTACTTGTTTAGTATTTGAATTTGTCAGATCCTCCTGTCTAAATCCTCCCTCATCTTCCTCTTAAGGGTCTTCCAAGTGCAGCATTTGTTCCACTATAAGGATTGGGTTGCACATTGGTCTTACTAGAAATTGTCCTACATTGAGATGCTGTTCTAGGTAATGCATTGTATTGTGTTTTCATTAGTACCAACACTTTTTTGTCCTTCCCAAAACCAAGGGGTTTTTTTCTGCATCACTTTGTATCAGGGAGTAGAGTTTATCACTGTGTCACTTTCCAAACCTTCTACCAGATTAGTGGTATACTGCTGTTCTACGCAGAAAAAAGGAAGTGAGGAGGAAGTGAGGGGACCCCTAAGTGGAGAGACAGCCAAATAGCAAACACAAAGATGGAGAAAGGTAGGGGAAATGGAGACTGAGAAAATACCAGGAATCACATTTGAATATGGAAAAAAACAAGAAGTGTCTGCAAATGTTAAGCAGGATGGGGGGAAAAGAAGTGAAATAACACACAATAGGTCCTTGAAAGGATAAAAAAAATGATTATCAACGTGACAGTGGTGATTAAAGGAAATGTCACCTTCAAAAAAAGCTTTTAGAATCTTAGAATCTTTTCAGGTGCATTTTTTCCCCTAGCTTTCCAAATACATTTGAATATTTACCTTGGTACAAAAATGCTTTTTCACCCTGACTAATAAAGACTGGTTGCCTCAGGCTACGCTTGCAATGCTTCCCACCCCTACAAAAGCTACACTATTTAGCTGGGCAAGCAGAAAGATGCTCACACATATTTCAGCTAAAAGCTCGATTCAGACCCATCCTGAATCTCCTTATGTAACTTAAAATGTATGCCCGAGACTTCAAAGCTGTTAAAGTGTTGTGTTTCTGACTGACAAATAGAACACTCCAGAAAAGCAATTAAATATTTTTCTAAGAACTGGAGAAATTCATACAAACTCTGAGTGTGAGTCTGTATTGCCTCCAGTATTTCCTGACTTGTACAGAGAGGCCTGAATGATTCATTGTGCCTCTGTTTTCTGCTCACCAGTAGCTACAAAGTTAGCTGTAAGGACAGCAAGTAGCAGCCAATGAAACAGAAGTGGTTCTCAGTTGCAAATGCACTGACCACCATGCCAGGAGAAGGATGCATTCCTTCATCTGATTTATTGATCACAGTAAATTTAAAGGACTGCCAGACACTATGCCCATTTAACATTCTAATGGCTTTTATCTAGATTTGGATCCCCGTCATGGAATTTCTGCCTGGAAGATGCACAATGGAAAAACAAGGTGAAAATATCCTGGAAAGGGAGGCAGTTTTACGGAGCTAAGGCTAGGAGATGTCTGCCATTAATAGGGAAAATGCTCTGTAAATTAGACCACTGAATGCAAAATTTTTTTTTTTAAAAAAAATCCTTCTCCTTTCTCTTGATCCCACATTACTGGTATGAACTATGATCATAGTTTTCCATACCATGTGAATTACCATTTTCGGCACTGCTGAGGATCTATATGTACCTTATGAGGGGAAGTAACGCAAGTGCTCCAGACAGTGGAAGCTGCCAAAAATGCTTCTTCTTGGTGGTAGCATGGCACCACGTACCACTAGTAAACAGCAAGAACAGTTTACAATGAATGGATCTGGGGTGGGCAAACACCTGCAAGAGTTTGGCTGGACACATCTGGAAAAAAAGGATGCTGAACAAGTTGGACCTCTGGAATTATGCTCTAGGGCTTTCCTTATGTTCCATTATAACTCTTACGCAAAGCTCGCTAAATGGCACATCTGCAATGCGTGAGAGTTCCATGCCAGCATCAGATAATGAAGGGAACATATGATGATGTTCTCAGAGCTCTCCATGGAATAAAGGTGCTCTGATCCATTCCAGGAATGATTCTGAGAAAGGTTATGTTGAGCTTATGAGCATGAAGAAGGGCCCTGATGAGTCAGATAGGACAACTTTACAGAGCTGTGAAGCCATCTCTTCTAGGCTGCAGGGCATGAAGGGGTCAACTCTTTTCCATGACTCTTGACCTATCACATAAAGTGGTATTCAGAAGCATATGAGCTTAAGAAGTCCTTGGCTGTGGAACACCCTCCCCACTGAAATTCGGCTGGCATCCTCGCTGGGCATTTTCAAAAGCCAGCTGAAGGCTGCAGGGCATGAAGGGGTCAACTCTTCTCCATGGCTCTTGACCTATCATATAAAGTGGTATTCAGAAGCATATGAGTTTGAGAAGTCCATTAATTACAAATGGGCAATTAGTCCCTTTTACAAGTGAGTCCCTGCAACAACATAATGAAGTACAGAGTGCTTCCGCTTAGGATTCCAGCCACTTCACTGAGTGCAAGAATATATGCCCACAATGTTGTTATCACTGCTGAACTTGATTGTAAGTCATGAATTTCTTCTTAATCGATGATCTGAATGCTGATTCAAGATCTGTTTGTTCTGTCATCCAGATCACACAGAGCCTCTCTAATTTATGTCATTGCTAGCAATGTTCTCAATATGTTAAGCATTATTTTCAGTGTTTCTTTTAAAAATGAAATGAAACTAATGGAAATTAAAATGAAAGAATTTGGACACTTGTCCAGCTAGATTATTGTTCAGCTTTGGAAAATAGTTACAGACTGTCACGTTCCTGCTTGTTCCTTGGTTGTTTCACCAAGCAAAGGGCGCAAGCTACGTGTCGTGTTGCTGCCACCAGTTGATTACATCAACATTATGTATTATTAATCACAGAGGTCCAGGCAATGTGTCATTTTAAAAAGAACCAAATAGAAGTTGTTTATTATTACAGGCGATAAAGGTAAAATCAATGTCTTTAACTCTTAACAAAACATCCTACTTCATCCACTCTCATCCGCCAACCCTCCCTCTATCCATCCCAAGCTCCAAAACCACCAATCCTCAAATCTCAAACTTCCCAATCTAAACTCTAACTCTCAATCCTCCCCCCTCCTCCTGCAGAGACTCTTATATCTCATGACTCCACCTCTCCAGCACTCCCATTGGTCTATTCAGATAGCACATTAATATTCATGACCTGGGCGAACGCCACACAGACTAGTATAATAATCTTCAAAAAAATGTACAAAGAAAAGTAGGCCACAAATCACACAGTATCTGGTGCCTATATACAAATGGCAGGAGTATAAGAAACAAATAAGAAGAACTGAACATCTTAGCTCAGGAGGGTAAATATGACTTGATGGTGATGACTGAAACTTGGTGAGATGACTCTCACGACTGGAATACAGCAATTGAAGGATATAAATTGTTCAAAAAGGACAGAAAGAAAGTCACACTATATGTCAAAATACATATTCCTGCACAGAAATACAGGAAGATGAGCTTGGTTGTCCCATTCAGAGTATCTAGATTAATATAATTGGGCTGAAAAGCAATCTGTCCCATTCAGAGTATCTAGATTAATATAACTGGGCTGAAAAGCAAAGGAAATGTGGTAGTTGGAGTCAACCACCTAATGAAGGAGATTTGAAAAACAAATTGCAAGAATGGAAAACAGATATGATATAGTAGTAATAGGAGACTTCATTTATCCTGATACCTGTTGGAATGCACATTCAGCCAAGCATTCCCCTTCCAGGAAATTCCTGGCTTGTGTGGCTGGTAATTTTCTTTTACAAAAAGTAGATTTAAAAACTAGTTATTATTATCCTGGTCTTGATTCTAATCGATAGAGATGACTTGGTGGTTGAAATGGCAGTAAGGGGAACTTTGAGGGAAAGTGATTTATACTTAAATTCTTTATTTCAAAGGCTGTGATGGTTGCATTAACAGAAATATGAACCCAAATCCCATGAAGTACCAGTTTCTTTTTATTTTGCATTGGTTAGACCTCATCTTGAGTGCTTTGTCCAGTTCTTGAACACTGCCCATTAAGAAGGAACAAAGTGGAACAAGTTTAGTGGATGACATCAAGGATGATCAGGGAACTGGAAACTAAGCCCTGTGAGGAAAGACTGAAAAAACTGGGCATACTTAGCTTTGAGAAAAGAAGATTGAGGGGAGATATGATAGCATTCTCCAAATACTTGAAAGATTATCATACAGAGGAGGGGCAAGATCTATTCTTGATCATCCCAGAGTGCAGAACATGTAATAATGGGTTAACATCACAGGAACTGAAATTTTGGTTGAATATTAGAAAATACACCCTGACTGTTAGAACAATAAGACAATTGGACCAGTCACCTCAGGGGATGATGAAAACTCCAACACTGAAGGCATTCAAGAGAACTTTAGACAACCACCTGACAGATATAATTTGATTTGGATTCCTGCATTGAGAAGGGGGTTGGACTCAATTGCATTATAGTCCACTTCCAACTCCATTATTCTGACTCTATTAGGATAGTCCTTCAGGTCTTAGATACATAGTCACGGCAAGCATATGTCCCTATGGAAAGCATTATCTGTTCATTACAAAATAAATATGCACAGTTGCTTATGAATTCTTCTCCATCACAGAGAAGTGGTATTATCTGGCTACTGCAAAGAATTGATGATTCAATATAGTTCTCCATGTGAATCAGAATCCTGAATTCTCCCCCTTTTTTTTGCTGATGAGAGGAGACAACATCCATGGATAGAAGGGGCTCTTCTCTTCAGACACATCACTCTTCATAAGATCAAAGAGATGAGGGAACACGACAGTGCAGGCATGCTTCCTTCTTCACATGTTGAGTAGAGCAGAGGTCCCCAACCCCCGGTCTGCAGCCTGGTGATGGTCCGTGGCCTGAGCCAGACCGGGCTGCGGAGACAGACCGCCCACGCCCCCCTGCATGCCAGCACACCCATGCAAGTGTCACGCCACCATTTGCACATGCGTGCTCACGCTCATTCACACATGCACACAAGCACAGGGGTGCCCCACCTTCCCCAGCCAGTCTGCGGGGTGAAAAAAGGTTGGGGACCCCTGGAGCAAAGTACTCTCTTTTTCTGCATTCTGCACAAAACACGTGCCTTTCCATATTTTGTTTATTCTTAGGCACTCACTGTACTATTTTTTTTTGGCAAATCAACCATGTTCAGACATGTTATGCTGAACAAACTGATGCAGTCATGAATAGTAAGCACTCACAACAAAACAGACAACATCTAGACACAAAAGCCTGTAGTTACAGTGTACAGTATGTGGGCTCTGGAATAGCATTCTCAACAAATAAGCACATTTTTATCTACATGCGTGATTAACACATTTTAAAAAAACTCATGGAACATAATGTAAAGCATTTATTTCTTGCAAATTGAATGCACATTTTTTTCTTTCCATTTTCTTATGATTGAAATTACAGGCAACAATTATACCATCTCCTGATTAAAGTGAGGTGGAGCATCTGCAGGCTGCGTAGATTGTATTGTCTGCTGGATTGAGCTGTTGGACTACCTATTGACCATCTCTGCCTATGAGGGTTACATAAGTCCACAGAGAGACATAGAAAGCAGGATTCCCAGGGAGCAGACACAAATGCTATCTTCTCAGCCACACTGTGAATACTGTTATATGTTCTCAGCTGTTATTTGACTTACTGAGAAATTGCCAACATGCTGTGCTCTTGCCAGCTATTACTCAGGTTGGGCTAAAAGTAAAGTTTCCCAACCCATACAAAGCATGCACAAGCCAGAGCCTTGTTGTAGGGTTAACTCTTCATCCTCTGTTCCGCTCCATAAGCTCTTGCTTTTCTCCTGTTAACAGCTCCTTAAATATCTGCATGTATTTGGCTGCAGGACAGTTATATGTTTAGGGAAATTTCAGTGGCTATATCCGAACACTGAGAGACTAGAAGAGCACTACCCTCCCACTCTGAAAAATCCATTAACAAAATAAGAAACTTCTGCCACAATAGGTCAGGGGATGACTACATGGACATTTAGCCTGCTGTTTGGTCCACTGTGGTGATGAACTGATTCACTCCTAAAGCTGGAGATCAGACATCATTGCTGGAGTGAACTAGCCTGTCCCCAGAGTGTTCCTACCCACACCTCTTTGACCCTTGTCAGGGGCTTCTACTTTTTTGTTGTGGCTAGGATCCTTCCTTTTTGGTTCATTTCCAGTGCATGTGATCTCTGGAAATAAACCAAAGTGAGCTGGCCAATTGAAGCTCCGGCTGGTTTCAATTTCCTCATAAGATTAGTGATATGAACAGTTTAACTGCTTGATGATATGGGATAATTGGAAAATTAAAAACCTCTCTGCCTGTAGAGCAGAGGAATGAAACAATCTTTTAAAACCCCAGTTAGGGCAGCGCTGAGGCACTGTACTTCTGGAGAAAATTTAAACATTGAAGCTTTCTCCTGAAAGCTGGAGAAAACAGGAAAGGGCATGGAAGGGGATTTCTCCCCCCCCTTTTTTTCTTTACAGC